CTTTAAAAAGTTAAACATAGAAGTAGATTGTTTTGTTATTTCTGTGTTGTCAAGTTGGTCCCAACTAATCATGACTTTAAAGGGTTTTTGAGGCTGTTAATCTTTATGGGAGCAGAAAACCCTCATTTTTGTCTCATAGAGTAGCTGGTGGGCTTGAATCGCCGACCCTGTGGTTTTCAGTCCAGTGTTATCCTACAGAGCCACTGCGCTCCTACTGTTGTTGTTGTTTTAGTTGTTAAGTGCCATCAAGTCGATTCTGAACCATAGCGACTCTGTATAGGGTTTCCAAGGAGCGGCTGGTGAGCTTGAACCACCAACCTTGTGGTTCAAACTGACTTTGCAGCCCAGCGCATTAACCCACAGTGCCACACCAGGACTTCACCAGCAATTGCATTCATTGAGCATATAATCAAAAGAAATAAAAGCATATGTGCAAATAAAAGCTTGTATACAAATACTTATCAGTATTATTTACAATAGCCAAAAAAGTAGAAAAAACCCATATGTCTAACAATTGAAGAACACATAAAGAAAATGTGGTATATACATAAACAGAATAATATTTGGCAATAAAAAGAAATGCTACAACATGGATGAACCTTGAAAATATATGGCAGTCAAAAAGTATTACTACAAAATCACAGAAAACTCTACATTAAGCAAAAATATCAAAATGTGAAGCTATTATTTCTTAACATATTCTCCATCCAGGTCTATATACTTCTGACGAGACATTTCCATCTCTCTTACCCTTCCCAGAAGAATTCTGTACTCTTCAATTTACACCATGTCAAAACAACAGTTTTGACATCAATGAGGACTCAAATTATGTTTCTTTTCAATGTTCTTTGAGTTTGGGGAACAAAAGTAAGTCTGAAAGGGCAAGGTCAGGTCTGTGAGGTAAATGGACAGTCCTTGCTACCCTCAAACAAATGAGCCCTGGTAGGGCAGTGGATTATAAATTAGCTGTTACCTGCAAGGTCAGCGGTTTCAATCTACAAGTCGCTGCGCAGCAGAAAGATGAGGTTTTTTGCTCCCGTAAAGATTTACAGCCTTGGAAGCCCAATGTAGGGTCATTAAGAGTTGGACTTGACTCAGTGACACACAACCATCATCACCACCGTCTTCAAAGAATGAGCACTGGCATGATGGAAAAAACTTCCTGGGCAAAGCTTTCTTGATCCTTTTCTCACTAATGAATTTTTCCCATTTTCTTAAAGCTTCTTCCTAAAAGCCTCTATGATTGACCTCTGTCCTTCAAGAAAATCTATCAAGACTACTCTCTCGGATCCCAAAAAAGTCTATAACCTTCTGAGCTGACCTCTCTGCCTTGAATGTAATTGCCCAGCAGATCCCTTCGGAAACCACTATTTTGATTGTATTTTATTTATTTTTTAAGGCATCCTAAGAAGTCCTGGCATAACAGGTTAATGTGCTGAATTTCAAGGTCAGTTTGAACACCAAAGACAAGTGTATTTCTGGGAGAAATTATAGCCATTCACTGACTGGAAGGGAACACAGTGGATAAGCACTGGATTGCAAACCAAAAGGCCAGCATCTGGAGTCCACCAGCTACCCCACGGAAGAAAGATGAAGCTTTCTGCTCCCATGAAGATTTAAAACCTTGGAAACCCTATACAGGGTCACTATGAGTCAAAACCAACTCAAAAGCACTTAACAACAACTGATCACAAAGACATGCCTAAACATGTTTTGTTTGGAATAAACTTGTGGAAGTATGAATTTGAATTCTAGTAGCAGTACTTTTTGACTTATCCTAATATGCCAGGTGAAAAAAGCCAGATATTGTATTGTTGCAGACTGTGTAAACCTGGTCAGAAGTTCGAGGCCCACTGGGCCCAAGTGTTGCAGGCTGCAGGCTCTGAGGAACAGATTCTAGCTATCTGGCAGGCATAGCAAATTGTTTTTCATCTTAGTATCCAGTTATGTTTTATTAATTGCAGACATGGAGCCCTTGATATCCACAGATAAATGTAATATTTTCCTAAAAGCCAAGAATGTAAAATTCCAAACAGGCAAAGTTCTTCCCTCAGAGAATTCATTCAAAGTAAATTGGGTGGCTCCCTGGTCTGTTCCAAGGACAATAGGAATGCCCTCTCTAAAGTGTTTCCAGGTGCAGCCCATTCACCCAGGCGCCTCTTTTCCTAAAGAACATGGGCTGGGCAGCCGACACAATGGGAATCCTCCCAATCCTCCTTTTCCATCCCCCATTTGAGGCTAGGTGCTAAAAGGTATGTTAATTAAGCTTGAGAAACCAAGTTGCGGTCAGTCCTGAGATTCGAATCTGCGAAGTACTATGTAAAGGTGCCTGAATGTCTGGAAAAGTAAGATTGACAGCTATAACTTGTCTTAGTCCCTCCTAGCTTTGTGTATAGTTCCTCCCCTAAATAAAAGGAAGGCGCAGAGCGAATCCAGGTGCATTACGACTGGCAAGGCGTGCGTTACAGCATGCAGGGGGCTCAGTCTAGCATTGCAACCATACTGCCTGCTTAGCCAAGATGTTTACTATGCAGGATATTACAGCCTTTCTGGCTGAGATGTTTGCAATGCATGATCTGCCTGATGCCAGTCCAGCATCCATCCTGGTTTCAGGGTGTCTCTTTGTCTCTCTCTTTGCGTCTCTGTGTCTTTTTTGCTATCCCTATCACCGCCAGGTATCCCCACCTCGTGAACCAATTCCTATGTCGAGGCCAGTCCCCGGCATTGTATGATTTCTTTTTATATGAAATGTCCAGAATAGGTAAACCAATAGAAGAGAAAAGTAGATTAGTGGTTGCCAGGAACTGGAGGAAAGAGGAATGGAAAGTGACTAGAAATAAGCATGATAAAAAGGTTCTGGGATTAGATAGTGGTGGGGATAGTTGTGCAACATTATAAATATACTAAAATATACTAAAATTCAATGGAATTGTGTAATTTTAGAAGTATTAAAATGGTGAACAGTATGTGAATTTTATCTCAATTAAAAAAGTAAAATGATTTATCTACCATATGATGGCATCATTCCAATCCAACACATTTACCGACGTTAATAAAGTGCTATGTCTTTACAAAAGAGCCCTGATAGTTTAGTGGATTACGAGTTGAACTGCTAACAACATGTCTGCAGTTTGAATCTACCAGTTGCTCCAGGAGGGAAAGATGAGGCTTTCTGCTCCTGCAAAGATTTACAGCCTTGGAAACCCTATATTGGGTTAGTAGGAGTAGGAACTGAGTCAACAGCACACAATCACCTCCATCACATATCCAGACAAAGACTTACATGGCAGATTTATTTATAATATCCCAAAACTTAGAAATGAAACAAATGTGCATATTCATACAGTTGAATCTACTGAGAAATAAAAAAGGATCAAATATTAATGCATATGGATGAATCTTGCAATAATTATGGCTGCATGATTCAAGCCAGACCAAAAAAGAACATACACTGTATGGCTTAATTTATATACAATTTTAGAAAATGGAAACTACTTTACAGTGACAGAAAGTAAAACAGTGGTCACCTGGTAACCAGGATGGAGAGGCGGGGAATAGCAAGAGGATTATAAAAAGGTTTGGTTTGTGAAGTGACAAGTCACCTGGGAAAAGCAATTTGGTCTTTGGTCTTGGATCCTGAGAGCTGGACCACATCTAAAGTGAATGAGTAAGTCAAGATGGAGCACCTGGGGGCCAGATGTAATCTAATCCTCATGAGTCATGATATAATCTTATCATGGTCTTGTGGGAGGCTTATAAGGGTTTTGAGTGCTAAGGCTGGTGAGAGGAACTTCCTGGCTGGTGACCAAAGAGCAGGATAGGAAAGTACATCCTTTTTTGGAACATGAAATCACCAAACTAGGACACCTCCCAAGTCTTACCCTATGTATTTCTTCATTTCTATTTCTTTTTATTATAATAAATCTGTAATCATGAGTATGGTATACTACCTGTGAGACTCTGTAAGTAATTCCAACAAATTACCTAACCAAGGAGTGTCATGTGCCTATTTAACAGTCTGAAATAAATCACCTTCTCAATTGGGCTCTGACTCAGCTCTAAGTGGCTAGGTTGAAACCTTAATGTGTCAGACTGCAAGTTGTTTAAACTGCAAGGTTGGTGGTTCAAGCTCACCAGCTGCTCCTTGGAAACCCTATGGGTCGGAATTGACTCAACGGCACTTAACAACGACAACATACATATAAATATAACCCTGTTTGGATATATTTGTTCTGTTAACGAGGTCGTACCAGAGTAGTAGTAGTAGTAGTTGCTGTTAAGTGCCAATGAATCTGTTCCAACTCATAGCAACCCTACACAGGGTTCCTGTAGGACTGTAAATCTTTGCAGGGGCAGAAAGCCTCATCTTTCTCCCATGCAGCAGCTGGTGAACTCAAAACATCAACTTTGTCCAGTGCTTATACTATAGAGCCACCATACTGTCTACCAGAGTAGAGTGGGTCCTAAATTTAATCACTTATAAGTGGTATCTGATAAGAAGGGAATAAACAGAGATACTCACAAAGGGAGACGACAAATGCATTTATTTATAAGACATGAAACACCAAAGACTCTTTGTAGCTACTAGAAACTGAAAGACATGAAGAACAACCTTCCCCTAGGGCCAACTCCTGAATTCAGATGACTAGCCTTGTGAACTGTGAGAAACTAAATTTCTCTTCCTTAAAGCCACTCACTTATGGGCTGTTGTTGTTTTGTGTGTGTGGCAGCACTAAGAAACTGAGACACTCTTTAAGTTATCTTCCAAAATCAATATAATTCTGTGATCATAATGCTAATCCTATTCTCAAAAACTAAGAATAGATTTTATCTATGTTTGAAAGATTTTAAATTTGCAAATGTACTATAAAAGGAAAATATGATTTTAAATCATAGACATTTTGTCTATGCATTAAATAAATTTTACATGTATAAAATTTTATATGTAAAATTCTCTCATATGCCACAGATCACAGAGCAAAATCACATCAAATACTCACAATTTAATATCCTCTAAAATATTTTTTGATTGTGCTGATCCAAGGAAACAAGCTGGAATATTGGACATTCTGTAAGAATAAAAACAAATATTTTGGGGCTAATTACCCAATGCAAAAAACAATTTCATACTTGAATGAGAATAAAGAAACACAATAATGTACATTCCTCTTCTTTGCCATTCTCTCTCTTTTGTAACTCACTGGACCACAGGGTTGGCAGTTCAAACACACCAGCTACTCCTCAGAAACCCTATACACAGTCACTACGAGTCGGAACCCATTCAACAACAACAAAAATTTAATTAACAAGTTCCTTCAAGGGACATATATTGAAAGGTTGGTTCTTAAATGGCGCTTTCAAAAAGAATGTAGGCTCATATTGAAGAAGTTTACATTTTTTTCATATTTAAAAATATCCTTCCCTGTGTACACTTCATACCAAACTAAAGAGCAAGAGTAAAGCAAGGAGAAAAGTTTTGAGATACTTAATGTAAACTGACACAGAGTAATACTGCTATAAAAAAATTCAATAGGGGCCATCTGGTTGCCTTGAATTACAAAGAACTCTTAAAAGAGGTTAGGCTTTTTACTGAAACTGCCATTTATTACTAACAAAGATAAAGAACCACTTACAGAACTGTATCATTGAGAACTATATTTTAACATATATGAGGGATCAAATGTTTCATTCATGGAAGAAACAAAGAGGAGGATAGTGTGGCAATGAAAACATTACTTACTCAAGCTGGAGCACTTGGTCTTCCATCAAAGAGATAAGAGGTGAAATGACAAGGCCAATCTTGCCTGCATATACAGGTGGATACTGGAAGCATAAACTCTTTCCATACCCTTAAAGTAAAAATAATATATTAATAGAAATAAAAATAAACCCTATATGCTATAATTTTCCATATCACATGCTAATAAGGACTGAATCGTCACTACTAACATGCATCTTTCAAAGAGCTAATTCATACGAGTACATAACTGTATCCTATTTAATCTCTTCTATGTTTTATACACTTGTATTTGTACTTTTAAAGTAGTGAAATATTAAACACTTCAAAACCTTCAAGCCTTATTTTTTAAAGGATTGGGTTATTTGCGTAAGTACAACTCACCAGTTGCCATGACAACAACATTATCTTTTCTTTCTTCCAATACAGAATGAATCACTTTCCATTGAACGCTTGAGGGTAAAAAGCAAAAATCGACTTTATTTTACTAACAAGAACCCTAAGAAACAAGTAGAAACACATTTAATTTTTCACTTCCTCTAACAGACGCTGACATTTTCAAGCTTAATATATAAACACGTACAGATCCCGGTACTTTACAACAAACTTTCCATTCTAGTTTCCTAAACAACCAGGAGTTTTCATTTAGAATATTTATCTAAATCTATAAATATATCTGGAGTATAAAATAAAGACCAAGCTTCATACTGGATATTTACTAGAACTAGTGATTTAAAAGAAATGAGAAATGCTCCAAGGGCAGGGATTGACTAAGAAGGAAAATGAGGGAGCATTCTAGGGTGAAGGTAATATTTTATGAGAGGGCTTCAAAAATTTCATGGAAAAAATACTACTACCTTTTCTTTCCATTTTCCATGAACTTTTGGAGGCTTCTCAATTGTCTTGATAAGGATTTCAGTTACATTGATGCATATGTGTACACTTAATTGTATGCAAATTGTACAACAAAAGGAAAAACTGTAAAAAAAATTTACACTCTAAGAGTTGGGTGCTGAAGTATTTAGTGAGAAGTATTAAAATGTTTGTAATTTACTCTGAAATGCATTTTGAAATTAGAATCAAAGTGGTAGATATACAGGCATCCACAATAAAAAATATCTTTCAACTTTACTATCTCTGAAATTTTTCTTGGTAGAATGTTGTTTTTTTTTAAGTTGTTATTGTGACTTATCATGTTTGGTAAGGTGGAGGGTCAGAGAAAAAGAGGAAGACCCCCAATGAGATGGACTGGCCAAGTGGCAGCATTGATGGAATCAAGCGTGGCAACAGTAGTGAGGTTGGCCCAGGATCA